AATACTCACTAGAAATCATACAATCTACAAGTTTAACCTCAACAAACTCACAATATATCAAGATTCTTATACGTTGTAACTAGTAGGCAACGGTAAACTTAGTTTCTAATTAGTTTCATGTTCCTCGTTAATAGATCTTGCGATTAGATCCAGTGTTTGATATTATTATTAGTAGTGTATACTACTGAACAGTTTGAAATGAAAACAAAATATCCATCTAATTGATTTCAGTTTTCAATAATTTTTTATTAGATATTTGTCAGTAATCAAAACTACTTTTCAATAGTTTAGTAACCCGAAAATTCAATAGAAATAATTTATTTTTTAAATTGGAATATATGTATATAATAGCAAAATTTTCAGGTCATGCTCGTATGTTTATTTTTTAGCTCTTTTTATTCAAATCATCGATTTTGATATGTACCCATTATGTCAAATAAAGATTAGATGGGTAAGGAATATTGATTTGCGTTGAATAGATATCACATTGAAGTTTTGAAGAATTCCCATGACATTGAAATAACTTTCTTTGTATGTTTTTTACTTCTGTCCAGTGCATATTATAGACGAAATATGGTCATAAAAATAATAATTTTCGAATTTATGATAAGTTAATCTGATTTACTTTAATATACCTCTTTGTTCCTGTCAATACATCAGTCCTATGAGTTTCTATTATTGAGAACAGCCTCAGAAGTTCATACAAGTCAAACACTTTGCTGTTTCATGGTCTATTGCTTTTCCTAACATCAAGTGTTCTACCACAACTACGTTTACAGACTATTTTCTAATAATCAGATCAGTTGAACAGTGATTAATGAGTCAAAGAACACAAAAGAAACCTACATGTTTTCTTTTTATATTAACATGGCAGTGCTTGACCTAGACAATCCTTGTAGTCTACACAGATTTCACTGAAATATTTAATTCATTTAAAGAAAACGTTTTATCCCTATTGTATTATCAATAGTTAGTGAAGTACCTAGAAGATTTTTCCAACTTTCCGTTCCCTTGTTTATTAAACAAGCAATGAACATCTAAAAATCATTATGTTTGTAATTAAATGAATAAAATTAACAATATTATCAAATATATTAATAATTTCTTTTCTTTTTTTCTTTCTAAAACTCACCAGCTAGTTCAACTTGAAAAAGAAATACATATCGATCTGGTGAATTAGGCCAACTAATTTCACATGTGTAAAAGCTCACATGATGTATATCAAAATTACTGATAACTAATTTTGTATCTTGATCGGCAAATTGAATATCTCTTAAAGTTGATCTGAAATTCAAAGTGAACAAATAGATTTTTTCTTTAAAAAAAACATAGTTTCATTTTTTTAGTGCGTAAAATGAACTCAATTTTAAAATTTAAATATGTTATATATTTTATCAGTATAGGGGTTGTGGAGATTGTTAAGTTTTTGATTGAGATCATGAATCAATTGATGTTAGACCACCGTTGGAAACCTGGAAGCACTAGACGACCGTTTCGTCCTAGTGTGGGACTCCTCAGCAGTGCGCATTCACGATCCCGCTCCTCGCGAGATTCGAACCCAGGACCTATCAGTCTCGCGCCAGGCGCTTAACCAACCAGACCACTGAGACGGCATCCACTGGTGTTAGTGTCTAACATCAACCAATCCACGAAATTGCGCGACCAACTTCCGTTGTACTGAGGTAGATACCTGTCTCTACCCGACACGGATTAGCTCCACTGGTCACGGCTTCTCACTGGAACTCCGAGAATTCCCTCACAAAGCTAGTCACTAGTGAGCACATGTTAATTATCAGTATAGGGGTTGTGGAGATTGTTAAGTTTTTGATTGAGATCATGAATCAATTCATTTGATCGAAATGCATAAATATTGCTTGTTTTCATTCTCACAGTTAAGCGTTTGTGAACGAAACCGAAGGTCCTGGGTATGAGTCCCGTATGCAGGATCGTGAATGCTGACTGCTGAAAAGTACCATACTGAGACAAAACGGCCACTCAGTGCTTACAGGTATTCAATGATGGCCTAGCTTAGGTAGATTCATGAATTCAACTATTAAAATTGCTACAGTCTTCACAAATCCACATTCAGATATTAATCCATTTAGTTGTAACGCATAAAAGTTGGATCACGAGTGAAAATCAGTAAGTACTGAATAGCCGTTTAATCCTAATACTGAAAAATTCCTTACTAGGATAAGGCGACCATACTGTAGTTATTAATTTTCAATAGTCGTCTAACTGAAGTCACTGAATGATGTAAAACTACAAAATATAGCAGCCTCCAAAACGCCCTAAAATGAACATGATGAGGTGATCACAATCTCGGACCAAATATATATATATATATATATATATATATATATATATATATATATATATATATTAAACAGTATTAGAAGTCAAGATACATTTACATTAGCTCACATTATTTCAAATAGGTAGACCTAGACTGAGCTTTTTTTTAAACTTTCTAATTACAATTAATTGGTAGTTCTATGTAATCTAATCTAAATAGCTGAAGATAATCATTGAACTTCTATCATATTTTAGTGTAGTTCACGGGTGAGTAAATAATTCTATGATTGACTAAGATAAGTTTGTAGGAAATCTCTTACAATCGGGGCAATGAAAATCCTGAAACGTTCCATTAAAAGTTGAATTTGGCAATATTGAGAATAATTTGAAATGGTATTTTTATTTTATAAATATCATTTCAAAACTCGTCACAATCAAATAGAATTCGAAAGTTTAAAAAAATATTGTATTAGCCATTCACTAGTGATTAGAATTATCGAATATTGTAACAGTAAAAGAAATTAAATTAGAACTGGTCGGTAAATATAATCTAGTAATCAGTAATAATCATCTTATATATTATTTAAACGGAAATACAGAATCTCTAAAGACATTCCCTCCATATCCTTACATTCTTTAGATAAAAACACTATCCGGTGTGTGAATAAATCACCGAACTTTAAGGCGGAAAATAAAAGAACAATGTTTACTTTGGTGTTTGTTCAAATAAATAACGTCAGTATCCATGTCATTATAAGAAAACTGTTAAATCTTACCCAGAAATGTGAAATTGTATAAAATCATTTTAATTTTACTCATTATTATATGCCATAAGCCTATACAAAAGTTCAACTGAACTTGAACAGGAATGATGGATGGATGATTTTTTTAGGCCTTATAAAAATTAACGTTACAACTGACTGATCACTGAGTAGCGATCAATATTATGTTTGTCTAGTAATTATAGTGCTGATCGAATTTTATTTATGAAGATTACAGGTACACTTTGTAACGACTGCTAAGTAGCATGAAACCTAGATCCGGAATTTCCTGTTCGCTACATTCAACCATCTAACATCTTAACATTAAAATCATAAATTCACTGTTCAGGTTTTAACATTAAACCTGAATCTTTCCATCGCAAATGGATTTACATGAACCAGTATGCCAAAAATTGTCATTTGTTACCTAACTGTCAAACTAATTTTATTACTTATACATTGTGGTAGAAAAATAAGAAAAGCTCAAATCCATATCAGTATCTTACACAGGTTGTTGTTGCTCTCCTAAACGTGGCATTAATCCCCATACTGTAATCGGAGCTATAGTATCTGCTGACTTTTGTACACCTGGTTGAGGACATTCCAATTCAACGGAACGGCCACGCATAACAAATTTCGAAAATTCATGATTTACCAAATCAGTAATTAATTTTGGGGGATCGTCACCTAATAAAAAAATAGAAAATATTAGATTAAATCATATATATATATATATATATATGTATATATATAGGTGGAAATTTCATTCAACTACAATTGACAAATAGCTTATTGATCGAATCTGACACTGAATATGTAAGTCAAACAGACAAGCAAATCACACACATTGAATAAACAAGTGATACGACTGACTTAAAGTAAGTCAGGTTAAAATATCTGTGACAAAACTATTTAAATAACTCACTAATGTTGACGAGTGAATCATGCGCTCGCAAGCAAACGCGCAAACAAATGAAGCACATATATAATGAATTGAATACCATTATCTCCCAATAATAATAACAATACAGTAATTTTGTTTAGTTGATGGTACGTTTGAAGTTTGTGTCACGATAACACGGTATCCAATATATATTATTTGAATATTGTTTAATCCTAGTTTATAACTCATAAATAGCTTTAGAATTTATACTTAAAGCGATATGGGTCAACTGTAAAAAAAAAACGAACCCGGAAAAGCCCTAATCCTTCAGATATTAACAATTCTGTTATTACCTTTTCCTCATGCTCTGCTACCTATTTTGAATTTGATAGTGTTGGGAGTGGTCTTACACCACACCTGCTGCTGGATGACCAAAGATCAAAAAGTATCAAGAGTGAATTAAACACTATGTTTAAGCAACTAAACGACATGCGTTCTAAAGTTGAGTCACTTGCTAGCTCTTTATCAAAGCATGATGATTTGAAACAAGAAATAAAAACATTATCACCCCTTAAGCTGCTCCTGTCAAAAGATATCGTTCCTGCGGAACTTGATGACATCATAAAAGCAGAATCTGCTATCGAATTTATCGCTAATGAAGTTACCAAGCGAATAATCTCTCGTAATAACGTGATTGTCTATAATATACCTGACAGAATCCCCATTAAAACTGTAAGGAATTCGATATTAAAAGCATCTGACCTTCAAGACAGTCCATGCCAATACATTTGACTTAATAAAATGCACCAGAAATACTCGTGCCCGGTCTTGTTCAGATTTGATCCTCATATATTAGCTGAACAGTTAAAAGAATCCGAGAGGCTAATCTGCGCGCTTACGAAGTTTAGAAACGCTCGTATAGTCTCAGAAAAGACCATCAATCAAAGACTTACGCAAAAACGTACCTTGAACAAAAATAAAGGTGTTGAGATCATAACAAATCACGATGCATCAGCTTCTGGATCCACTGATGAAACTACCCTATCTCATGTTCTCCAGTACTCTGATTTACCAACAAAGAGTGCTAATTTACCTATTATACCTGTAGTGACAACTGATAACCAATGTACATCTAATGACGACACCAATCTGATATTATCCGGTTTACCATTAGAAGCCCATAAGCCAATACTTGGTTCTAATGCGACAGCTCTTAAAAACACTGTCAAGAACCTTCTGCTTCTAGACGCAATAACAAAATATTACGATGGCCCTACCAAATAAAAATAATACCATACTTCCCGACACCATGCTCTACCCGATGCATCGTAGGGGAGGTTATAAGGGCAGACTTTGTTCAAATTTCTCACAAGACGGCCACTGCAATCATTATGTAAGCAGGCCTAATATTGGACAGACCACAGTGAACCAATGTGCCCCACGGTTACCCTCAAACATTTTAAATAATAAACCTGTAAGACGTAACTTTTCTCAACACTTTCCCATTGGGAAAGATGGATTACTAAGTTACTCACCATCAACCCAACCCCAACTAGCAGGTGCTTGTCTTAACTGTCTGTCATGTCAAGTTCAACAAATTAATCCACTTTATCAAAATAATGATTTTTTTGGCCTTCAGAAATCCCTGGTCCCACTAGCATTACAGTTTGTTCAAGTGATAGCCCATATGATCTGTCAAACATAATAAACCACAGTCTATGCAAATCCAAAATACACAACATCAACAGGGAAGCTCTCGATTTTTTCACACTCCATACTGCCTTTTTAAGCTTATTACTTATCAATGCACGTTCACTTGTGAACAAAATTTCAGCCTTGAGAACATTAGCTTTTCTAGCCAAGACTTCTTTCATACTTATCACTGAAATGTGGTGCTCTCAAGTAGTATCTGATTCAGAATTAAATATCCAGAACTATCGACTCTATCGCTGTGACAGAGAAACTAAGTGAGGAGGTGGTTGTATTATATATGCTTTGGATACCCTAATAACTAATAAAGTTGAAGATATTCTCCTGAATAGTTTACCAGAATCATTCTGAATCATAGTCTACTCTTTGGATGTATATAGAGAGCTCCTGATAGTTCGAATAATGGGAATGATCTTATTATCAATGCACTCATACATGCATCAGCTCTAAACTTTAATGCTAAGGTTATCACCGGGGATTTCAATTACCCTGGGATTAACTGAAGTACCGGTAGTTGTCAGTCATGTAATGATGAGGTCTTGGCAACCATTAAAATGCACTGCTGGTCACAGTAGGTTCGTATCCCAACTGGAGGCGATAGTATACTCGATCTCATATTTAGTAGAGATGTTATCCCACTATCTGTAAAAGTATACGATGAATTTGAAAGCAGTGACCATGAGATAGTAGTTTGCGCTCTCCCTATCTATCCCTCTTATAACCGACCCATTCAAAAAACCTGTCAATATAGAGACTATAAGCACGTTGACTGGGACCTCCTGCAGTCATTGATTAAACTTTCAGATTGGGACAACTTTTTCTCATGTAATAGTCTCATGGATGCTATCGACGAATTCTATCTGATCGTTAACTCTTGTTTAGATTTCTTGTGTACCTTTTAAAACGTACAGGTTTAGTAAACCTTACGAATTATACATACCAGTTAAATATCGTAATAAATTAAGATGCCTACAGAAACGTTATTTTAAGTCAAACGACTTCACGGCAGTTTCACAAACGTTTTTTATTCAAATTAAAGAGAAACATAGGTCAAAAGTCATTAATGAGGAGCTATTAGCACTTAATACTAACTCAAAGGTACAAAACTTAACTATCCTTTCCAATAAACGCGCTAAAGCAACTCAAAATGTTGATATACCATGCATCCAGCATAATAGCACTTTAATATACGACTCTAAAAATATAGCAGATTTTTTCAATGGTATTTTTGAGAATGGTGTAGGAATCATAAGTGGCTCTGCTTCAAGAGTTATGTGCGTGACTAGCAACTTAATAAAATCTATCTCCTTCACATGCATGAAAATTAATAAGGCTATAAATACCCTTAAGCTTTCGAGAGGTCATGGAGCAGACGAGATGTCATCCTTTCTCTACAAATATGGTGGTCCAGATATTCCACTTCTTCTTCTAAAGATGTTTACTCTCTCCATGGAAACTGGTTCTTACCCTTACTGTTGGAAAACCGCGTACATCATACCACGTTACAAATCTGGAGATAAGACTGACATGAAGAATTATCAGCCAATAAATATTACTCCAGTTATCTCTAGGATTATGGAAAAAATTATAAGTGGTGAACTTTCCAACTATTCAGTCGCTGGAAAATTTACCAATGATACCCAACATGAATTTCTTAAAAATCGTTCTTGCATGACATGTCATTTTGACTTCTTTAATTTAGTCTATTCTCTACGTAGCCAAGGATATCTAGTCTTAGTGCTATATCTGGACATTTCTAAAGCCTTTGACATGGTTAGCCACCAACTTCTTATAGGTAAGCTCGCATCTTAAGGGGTTCAAAATCCTTTGCTAGCTTGAGTTGATTCCTTTCTCAGCAATCGACATCCAATAGGTAAAATTAACTCTTCATTGTCTAACGCTGTCCCTGTTAGAAGTGGTATAATACAAGGTTAGTGTCCTAGGCCCTTTGCTCTTTTTAGTGTTTATCAATGATATTTGTGAAAGTTTTTGTGTGGGTAAGCCCCTTCTATATGCAGATGATCTTAAAGTAGTATATTCATTTTCTCCACATGAGCTGAAAAATATGCAAAATTGCATCACCATGGAGCTTAACAAGGTGGCACAGTGGTGCTTAAAATGGCGACTGGAGTTTAATACGGCTAAATGTGGATGGATATGCTTCGGCGATACATCACTCAACCTAGATCTTACCATAAATGGTGAAATGCTGTCTAGGCTACATACAGTAGTAAACTTAGGTAATCCTACGACTTTTCGTTTACAGAACTCCAGGTCTCAACGTCTTATAGGTTACATAACTCGGAACCTTTATAACAATGAGTCACTTATTTTAATGTACAAAGTTTGTGTTCGACCTCTTCTAGAATTCTGCATGTTTATTCTTAGCGGTCACGCATAAAGGATAAATTAAGGCTGGAATCAGAACAGAGATGATTTACACTTCGTATTCTTGGAGCTGATTGTACCTTAACTTATAATTCTAGACGTAATAAGCTTGGGCTAGACCCTTTATGGAAGAGGAGACTCAAACTAAGTATTGTTTTTTTCTTCAAGCTATTTGATAAACTATCCTTTATATCCAATCAAGTGATTCAATATGCAGAAACTTCTCACTATGGCATCCGTAATTCCTTGTCACCAGTGAAACAAACTTATTTTATATCATCTCCTTATATGAATTACTTTACCTGTAAATTTCCTAGACTCTGGAATAATCTACCACAATCTATCCATACGATAAAATCACTCCCATTATTTGTTCGCTGCATCAATGCTTACTGCTCCTCTGCGAATGCACTGAATGCTCTAGCACCTGTAAGTGTATCTCATTCCATATGTGATATTATAGGAACTATAAATGTTAAGCCATCTTTATTAATGCATTCACTAAGTAAAACTACTTGCTATCACTTTATGTTAAGACCGTCCCCAAAAAGTCTAACTAATTTGAATAACATCAACAGTATATCACTGTGTCACATGACACACGCATTTCGGTAGACCTGCTTGACATATTTTGGTAAATACTGCTTTGTTGTTCCGTACTCTCTGTTTTCGTTTTACTTTCTCTAGCTGTAGATAATTACCATTAATTCGATCTGGCACAGGAGATAACGCTAATTACACCGTTCATAAATCAACAGGCTGCCCATTTAAGAGATATTAAAAATTCCCTGCTGATGCATCGGATCGCTGTAATACATGTACTATCTAAACTAGTATACTTAAAACTATCTTCTATCAAACGTTTGTTCTGTACATCTAATGTTACTATTTATATCAAATTGATCATGCCTGTAAACTGGCGTGAATTCTGTAATTATTATTTTCAGAATATATAAACTACTAATTATTAAATGGTTTATACAAAAATACTGCATCCCAATGAATTTTAATTTGAAATAAGCGAAAACATTTTTCCCGATATATTTTGCTGTATGTTTCCAAATAAAGAAAACAGTATTCTGTTCAAGTAAATGAAGAAAAAGAAGGTTATTTTATTCTCTAATGGTTAAAAAAAAGGATTGCAATGTTGAAAAGTTGACATTTGTTTGTAGTTTAACCATATATACTGGATTAGTTCTAACCTTATTTAAGTGTTATTTATAGAAATAAATAAATAATGTTCGTGACAAATGTGAACAATCAGAAAAGAGAGATAATATGCCCCAAATATACTCTTTTTGCATAAATTTTAAAAAACCGAATTTATTTTATTTGCGCATGCATATATATATACATAAGTAGTGTGTACTAGCTTTTCAATAGTATAGTACTACATCAATCAATGTTGCTAGTTGTTTGCTTGTTTGTTTATTTTTAAGGTAAATTACAAAATACACTATGAGTAGAGGATGAATACAAAACGGAAAGGAAAACATTTACCAGCTTTTCTTTTCTTTTGTTGTTTTTTTCATCATCAATGAGTTATTGATGAAAGTATAGAAAATAATTCATTGAATGAATTTTTTTTGTTCTGCCTTAATAGTTTGTTCTATGCTTGCATCTAATTTTTATTGATAGGAAAACTAACAACTGAAGTGAGTAACAAGTGACTAATCAGATTAACTGTATTTGAATAAAAATGTTATCTAGTATACTCTTGCTATATAAATATGGTCACTATAAATAGTTTTCAATGTAATAGTAGTTAACGTAGCTACCAGAAAAAATACATAGTGGTTGCTACTTGTTTGAACCTGTTCAGTTTATCGTTTACATTTTGATGATCTTCACAAATCCGAAAGTTAAGTTCTTTCGTTAGGTGATATATTATACAGAGTTTTAACAGTTTAACGTTTTAAGAATAATAAAAAAATGGATTATATAAATTTTTGACTGATCGATTTAGCTTACTTATCTTTTTTTAAGTAAATAATACAAGAGAGGATGAATCGGGATGTATAGTTTGACAATAAAAGGTTTTTTTAGAAAAACTGAAGCTAACAGAAAACAATTTTTAATGATTTTCGATTTTTTTTGACATTCTGAAGATTATTTTTAAACTTTTTTTGTTAACATTATCAATTTAATGACAAAATATAGTTAGAATTCACTAGAATACAGATGTTATGAGTAAAACGTGGTGTAGTCACGGTAGCGTTAATTACGAGACAATACATGAAAGACGTATATTGAAATTTTTGCATGAGTACGAATACTCGTTAATAATCGTGTTCATATAGCTTCATTAAATCTTTAAAAAATGATTGACAGTAAACGTTTTGAAGATACTGAAAATCTTCAGAGATTAAAGGAATTCCAAATAAATTCCTATACTTCAATCCATGATTTCCACCGATAATTATATTCATCATCTATCGACTGGTTTTAACAAGCACTGTCTAAAAAATGACTAACAATATAATAAAGCCAGAGAAAATGAAGAAAGGTCCTAAAATTATATTCTTCGATAAACAGCTTATTAGTCATCAGTATTGTGATAATTTCAGTACTATTCATAATATAGTGTAATATAGTATTTTACAAGTTTTAGATTATTACAAACAGACAATTCTGAACTCTTTTTTTATTTACTTTTCGTTATTTATTCTTAAGGCAATATCGAAGATCAATTAAAGCATCTCTATGTTTAATATCTTTTAACACCATTATATTACACATACTTCTATATGATGAAGATGATGAATTTACTCGATGATCATTGAAATGATAAGGTATTCACAAGGTTTTTGATAGTG